GGAGCCTGCTTCAGATTCTGTGTCTCCCCTCTCTGTGGCCCTCCCCCACTCTCTCTCTCTCAAAAATAAATAAACGTTAAAAATTTTTTTAAAAAAGTTAAGTTTTCCCAACAACAGACTGCATGGTCCCTACTATTTACTAATTAACAAACTCACCTACTAAGAATACTTTACACTCTCTTGTGGAAGTCCGCATTACCTGTCCTCTATAAAATTTGTAACCCAAATGAGCAGAGAACACACAAAACAAGTACGATGGTACAGTATAAACTTTTAGCACATTTAGAGCACAGAAATAGCTATACCATATAATAAAACTAACAAATCTGAGTGAATGTATCATTTTAAATATTTCTTCTGATTAAAATGTAATAAGCATTCTACGAAATCATTTACTTTCAAAAAATATTTACTGTACCAAAAACATTTTTAGTTTTCAATTTTTTTAACATTTATTTTTGTGAAAGAAAGAACGCACGCGTGCACACATGGGGGAGTAGCAGAGAGAGGGAGACGAAGGATCCGAAGCGGACCCAGCACTGTGAGCAAAGAGCCAGATGTGGGGCTTAAAGTCACAAACCTTGAGATCATGACCTGGGCCGAAATCAAGAATCAGCTGCTTAACCGACTAAGCCACCCAGACACCCCAGAAACAATTTTAAGCAAAAAGTAATGAGAAGAAAAAAAAAAAAAAAAATCACTCAGAACTTTTGGACCAAAAAAAAAAAAATAAAAAAAGTTTCGCACATCGTTTCCTTTGAAATAAATAAATATACCTTAGTATTAAATATGTTGCAAATTTTTGTAGCTCAAAGTATATAATATTCAGGTTTAAACATACTTCAGCAAAAAGAAAAATCCCAAAGAATGCTAAATAACAACGTTCACTTGAAATAGGGAGAGCTATTAAACTTCTCAGGTAAATATATTTTGTTTAGTCTTTCTAAAAAAGAAAAAAAAAAAAACTGCCTATGGCTATTTGTTTATATCTCACCTTACCCGAAAGAGGATTTGCAACAACAAAGACAGGCATAGGAACACAGCAAAACAAAATATACTATTTGCATCACCTTCAAGAACAAAGACAGAAGTGAAACTGGTATCTCCGACACATGCATGTCATTGAGTTCTTTACATTTTGCCAAAGGCAGACCACATAGCATTTGACTCCAAGGCTTCATTTATTCACCCACATTCCCCATTAATAATACAGCAATGGTTTGGATTTTTTGTTAATTTTAATTTTTTTAAATCTTTTTTTTTTTTTTTCCATAAAGTGTATTTTGAGAGAGAGAGCATCAGCAGGGGAGGGGCAGAGAGGGGAGACAGAATCCCAAGTAGGTTCCATGCTACTAGCGCAGAGTCCCATGCAGGGCTTGATCTCAATGACCGTGAGATCAGACTTGACCCGAAACCAAGTGTTGGAAGCTTAACCAACCGAGTCACCTAGACGCCCTTAATTTTTTTTTTTTTTTTTTTTTTTTGAGAGAGAGAGAGAACGACTGCACCCGTGTGCAGGGGAAGGGCAGAAGGAGAGAGAGAATGTTAGCAGGCTCCACACCCAGCATGGAGCCTGATAGGGGGTTCAATCCCATGAACCATGAGATCATGACTTGAGCTGAAATCAGACACTTAACGAACTGAGCCCCCAGGTGCGCTTTTTTAATTTTTTGAGGGAGCATGAGTGGGGGAGGGTACAGCAACAATTCTTAAAGATAAATCAGAATATAGGGAGAATTCTGATACAGCCTGAGAAGCAATGATTTGGAGCTTAAACTTCCCTTTAAGCATCTGCAATATACAATTCATCATTATCTCTACCAGGCCTAGAATTCAAATTTGCTGAAATCCAAGGAACATAACTAAGACACGCGTCTCAACACAAAGTTACAAAGTATTAAAAGTTAGGGAATTTCTCCCAAAAGACATCAGTGGTTTTAGAATAATTAATCTAAATAATTAATTTAGAAGAAGTAGCCCTTATTTATAAATGAAGGTTGGATTTGTTGTCAATGAATACCACTTCCTCTTCCTTTGGATGCCTGGGTGGCTCAGTGTTAAGCGTCCAATTTCAGCTCAGGTCATGATCTCATTGTTCATGAGCTCGAGCCCCACATAAAGGACTGCTTGTCGCTGTAAACATGGAGCCTGCTTTGGATCCTCTGTCCCCCTCTCTCTCTGTGCCCACCCCCTCCCTCATGCTCTCTCAAAAATAAACACACACACACACACAAAAGATCACTTCCTGTTCCTGATAGTAGAGCCAGACCAAGCCACGTTAACACCCTCTGTCTTTTACAGAGCGTATGCATTTAATTTGATCAAAATCAGCCCAGTATCACCAGGGAACAATTTTTTTCCCTAAAAAGAGAGGGAGGAGATGATGGCAGATAACACCTTTTTGCACCCCTCCCTTATCCTGACCCATGGTTGTAATTTCTGCTAGAAATCAGAATGTATTAACAATTAACTTACTCCAAAAGACCCAAGAGGGCCAGTGGCCATTTGTGCTTTGACACATTACTAGCACCTTCCGTTACACTTCAATTTTACTGCTTACAGCTTTAAATGTGTATAGTATGATTTAATTACTCTAAAACATGTAAAATTAAGAAACTACTTTAAGATTTACATACAACAGAGATAATTTTTATGATAAGCCCTTTTCATAATGGCATATTTATACTTAGAACTGGACACACAAGGTTTGTTCCTGAAGTGACAATTGAGTTCCTGACCCAGTGGCAACCATTCTGATTATTTCTATGATAGTAATGAGGAATTAAACTTTCAATCTGTACTTTCAATGACATTTTGATTCTTTAACAAAGTATCTTAAAACTGCAATATAATTTTGTAATGTGTTGAACAGTGTCCCCTCAAAATTCATTTCCACCTAAGACCTCAGAGTTTCCTCACTTGACAACAGGACCTTCACATATCTACTTAGTTAAAATGAAATCATACTGAATTAGCACACACCCTAAATCCAATAACTGGTGCCTTTGTAAGACACACACACACTCACACTCTCACTCCCTGAGAAGGCCACGTAACAAAGGAGGCAGAGATGGGAGTGAATAAAAGATTGCTGGGAGCCACCTGAAGCTAGAAGGCTTCTTCTCCAGAGCCTTCAGAGGGAGCATGGCCATGCTGACACCTTGATTTCCGATCTCTGGCCTTCAAAAGTATAAGAGAATAAATTTCTGCTGTTTTCATCATTTAGCTTGTGGTACTTTGTTATGGAAATTCTTGGAAATGAATAGTTTCCTACATTATCCTCAATGTTCTTAAGTGAACTCCACGTCAGATTTCTGTTTTAGGAGACAGGTAACTTTTTTATAGATGGCAAAAAGTCAAGCAAATGTTTTTTTTAGATTCTTCCCCACAATTACCTGAGTACTGTATTTCTGAACTTTGGCTTTGTGAAAGTCTTACCAGGAAGCCTCATTTCCAGATATCCTCGCACCCTACTAATAAGATCAGAAGGAGGTCTCTCTCCTGATTGCCCTGTTCCAGCTTCATGCGTATGAATATCCAAAAGCAGCATCTCATTCAGCATGACCTGACGGAGTTTTGGCGAGAACTCTGTTACCAACTCCAAACAAGCAGCAAACAACTGTTTGGCGTGGGAAAAGTCCTAGAGAAAGAAAGAAATCACTGGATTGCTTTTCCTCTGGAATCGACAAATGTGCATCTTTATGAGAACGGAGCAAAGAGGAGGAGGATTAATTTAAATGGTTAACACCGGATGTCTTGGAAAGAGGCCAGATTATCTTTTTCTTTATCATCTGTGTCACTGATTTATTCCAATACTTAATTCTTTTGTAGTCTAAAAAAAATCCGTGGAATTTAAGAAACAAAACAGATGACACAGGGGAAGCGAAGGAAAAATAAGATAAAAACAGAGAGGGAGGCAAACCATACGAGACTCTTAAATACAGAGAACAAATTGAAGGTTGCTGGAAGGGAGGTAGGCAGGGGATGGGTTAAATGGGTGATGGGGATTAAGGAAGGCACTTGCTGGGATGAACATCTGGGGTTATATGGAAGTGATGAATCACTGGGTTCTACTCCTGAAACCAATACTATACGTGAGCCTAGGGGATACGACATTGCTCAATGCCCTCTTAAAAAGTTTTATATAATATTCACTTCCTGATATAAGTGGTATGTTAACTAATTTGAATTTAAATAATTTTTTAAAAAATCCAATAAACAGCATAAAAATATGCTGTATTATCAAACAAGTTTTATATAAATGGTAAAACCAAAAAACTTTTACATAATTATATACACATCACATACATTTTATATAAGCTACACATATTACATATACATAATGTATATTATATACCTATATGCCTATCTTATACATACGAGCCATACATGTTATATACATATATAGAATACACATAAATTATACATCTTCTATACATACATATACACAAAATCCATACAGATTCCATGACAAGTACCCTTCTATACCTAGTCTATTAAGAATTGGATCTTATACTCTTCAACAAGGTTTTACATTCTAGAAAATTTTTTTAATGTTTATTTTTGAAAGAGAGAGCATGAATGGGGAGGGGCAGAGACACAGGGAGACACAGAATCTAAAGTAGGCTCCAGGCTCTGAGCTGTCAGCACAAAGCCCAATGCTCGAACCCACAAATCGGGAGATGATGACCTGAGCCAAAGTCAGACGTTTCACTGACTGAGCCACCTGGGTGCCCCAACAAGGTTTTACATTCTAAAATCTCTGTACACGACCTTAGTCCACATAATTGACTAATAAATCAAACTCACTACAATCCAATCCCTTTCTTACATGTCCGCTTCTAATTTTTCCGAAGAGCAGTCTTTGTTCGTTCTCTCTCCCTCCCCACAGTTGTCTCCTTTACTCCTACCCCCATCACGATGAAGAAATATCTCCCACTAAACAAAGACCTTCTAACTGTTCAACTGACTAAACACTCTTTAGTTATCTTACAGAACCCAGGGGCTGCATCCCCGTGCTGCCCACTCCCTTGTGCCTGACATTCTCTCTATTCCCTTGGCTATCACGACTCCACCTGTGTCTGGTCCTCATACGCATCCTGCCACTGTTTCTGGGACACAATGTCGTATCCCCTAGGCTCTGTATATTCTCCCTGGGTGATCTCTGATGTCTCCCAAATCTCTATATCTAGCCCAGACCATTTCCCAAGCTTCAGGCTGTTTCCAACTGCAGGCCCAAACTAAACATTTTAAAATGGATAATCAGTCCTTCAAAAATGTTTTTCTACATATTCGCAAGCTGGCAGAAACCTAAGCAGAAATCTGAACATCTCTCTCCATTCTTTTCTCCCTCTTGCCTTCCACAGCACATGAGGAAACAATCAATTCTAGATTTTACCTTCTTAACGTCTGTCTGTTCGCTTCTACCCTTTCTAATACTTGTGCCACTTACTAGCTGTGTGACCTCAATTTATTACCTGAGTCTCTGATTTTTCACCTATAAAACTGAGCTAACACGTTCTACACAGCTGTGTGTGTGACCAATAAGTCAAAGAATAAATATATAAGAAAACTGCAGAACAGTCTCCATGCTCAATAAATGTTAGTTATTTTAGGGGTGGAAGGAGAAAAGGGGCTAATGGCATGCCCCATTATAAACTTTTCAACAGCTCACTAGTGTCTAGAGCTGTACATTCCAATATGGTAGCCATGAGCTACATGTGTCTACTGAGCATGTGAATTGTGACCAGTCCAAACTGGGAGGTGCTCTGAGCATAAAACACTGGATTTTGAGTGAAAACCTAGCACACACATTTAAAAAAAAAACAACTCAATTTTTATATTGCTTATTTGTTGAAATAATAGTTTAGATATAGTGGGTTCAAATGTATTAAAATCACTTTTGTACTTCTAAAAATGTGGCTACAAGAAAATCATAAATTACATATGTGGCTTGCATGGTACTTCCACTGGACAGTACTGGTCTAGAAATAGTGCTCAAACTTTAGCATGCATCAGAAATTACCTGGAGGGCTTATTAAAACAAACTGCTGTGCCCCATCTGCAGTTTCTGATTCAGTAGGTCTAAGTGCGGTCCAACATTTTGCGTTTCTAACAAGTTCCCAAATATAACCAATGCTGCTGGTGTGGGGGGTCAGACTTTGAGAACCTCTGGTTTACAGCACTATCTACAAAAGGTTCTTTGCTCAACGCCCTCTTAAAAAGTTTTATATAATATTCACTTCCTGATATAAATTTTTAAGCTTAGAAGTAATTTTGGAGGGATGCCTGGGTGGTTCAGTCATTTAAGCATCCATCTCTTGATTTTGGCTCATGATCTCACGGTTCATGGGATCAAGCCCCGTAACGGGCTCCTCGCCAGCAGCTCAGAACTTGCTTGGAATTCTCTCTCTCTGCCCCAAATCCGTACACATGCACTCTCCTGCTGTCTCACAAAATAAACTTCAGAAAATAATAACAATAAATAAAAAGCATTGTTTTAGGAAGAGTTTAAGGAGATGCTAAAGTGTAGTGCAAATACTTTTTGAATAATGAACTACATTATTTTTATTTTAAAATATACACGCCTTTAGGGATAGATCTAACAAAATACATGCAAGATTTGTATGCTGAAAATTACCGAACTTAACAAGATAAGGACATAAATAAATAGAGGCCTAAATAAATGAAGACCTATACCAAGTTCATGGACTGAAAGACATAATATTGTTATCAATTGTCTCCAAACTGATTTATAGATTCATTGCAATCTGAATCAAAATCCCAGCAGGCTTTTTTTTTTTTTTCTCCAGTAAATACTGAAAAGCTGATTCTAAAATTTATATTAAAAAAGCCAAGGGGAGGGGCACTTGGCTGGCTCAGTTGGTAGAACATGCCAATCTTCATCTCAAGGTTATAAATTTAAGCCCCACATTTGGTGTAGAGTTTACTTAAATAAAATCTTAAAAATAAATAAGAAAGCAAAAGACCTAGACTAGCCAAAATCATTTGCAAAGGAAGCCTTGACAGCACTTGGTTTCAAAACTTACTCTAAAGCTAAAATATGGCCCCCCCCTTTTTTTTAAATATTTAGAGAGAGAATGAAAAAGAGAGAGAATGAGAGAGAATGAGAAAGAGAGAGAATGTGAGAGAGAGCAAGAGCGAGCAGGGAGGGGCAGAGAGATAGAATCCCAAGCAGGCTCCACACTCCGTTCGGGGCCAACATAGGGCTCCATCTCAGGACAAGGTCATGACCTGAGCCAAAATCAAGAGTTAGACGCTTAACCGACTGAGACACCCAAGCACCCCTCCCTCCACCTTTTTAAAGTAAGCTAGAAAAGGGCAATTGTGAAAAAAGAACGGAATGTGAAAAGGAAAAACAACAGGACACATGAACCATGAAGAGTTTTTCAGGCAGATCAATTTTAGGAAAGACAAGAAAAAAGGCTGGATACCGCTTCCCTTAAAACTGTAATGTCTAATGGGCACTGAGGAGAGCACTTGTTGGGATGAGCACTGGGTGTTGTATGTATCCCAATTTGACAATAAGTTATATCTAACAAAACCAAACAAACTGTGATGTCTACACACTTGACTTCTAGCTGGAAGAGTGCTCATCTAGAAAAACCAACCACCTTAGCAATGCTCACGGGGTCTGTACAGGCTACATCTTATTTCCCCTTCTAGCCTCACATACCAAATGATACTCTTAACATCAGCTTACTGCTTCTGGTCCCCTTGTATACCATCCTATTTCTTATCTTTGAGCTTTTCCACATGGTGCCATCCCCCCCTTTACCTCGCTAACTTATTCATGCTTCGGGCTTTAGTGCAGGATTTCTGCTGGAACTAAATTTGGAAATGCTATTAACCTGCCTATAGAATTTACTATACTATTACTCGTGCAATTTTACCATCTTATATCATTTAACATTTCACTTAGGTCTCAACTTCCCAAACAGGTTACAAACTCCTTGTGTAAAATAAACTACAAAAGTAATCTTAAGGGATTTTGTTTTGTTCTTACAGCCTGGAACACAATTTTACTAAGTTAATCCTAAAAGATACACTAAATAATTTTTCATGGTCTCAAGGAATGGAGCAGTATCTGTATATCCAAGACCACTTTGGTACAGTTGTGAGGGTAGAGGAAAAAGAACCAAAACACCTTTTACAATATCCTTTAAGAGCGGGGAGAAAAGACCCTTTAGGCCTAGGGCTGTATTTTTAAGATCAAGGAAAATATAGGAGATTCTGATTCCTGGGTTTCACGATAAAATTGATAAAGCATATTTTAACCAGTAATTGACATATGCTTTTACTCACCTTAACAGTACTGCAGTGTAAACCTTTGGCCAACAGAATGTAAACCAAATCTCTTGTTAAATTGTCTTTAATTCCCAGGATGACCCCACTATAAACAGAAGGTACTTCCCACTAGAAGAAATAAAAATATATAAATACACATGCACACAATACACACAGAAAGCCAAATCTAGAGAAGAATCTTTCAATAATCTTCAACCACATTTAAAATAATCATGCAAATTGGGGCGCCTAGGTGGCTCAGTCGGTTGAGCGTCCGACTTCGGCTCAGGTCACGATCTCACGGTCCGTGAGTTCAAGCCCCGCGTCAGGCTCTGGGCTGATGGCTCAGAGCCTGGAGCCTGCTTACGATTCTGTGTCTCCCTCTCTCTCTGCCCCTCCCCCATTCACGCTCTGTCTCTCTCTGTCCCAAAAATAAATAAACGTTAAAAATAAAATAAAATAAAATAAAATAATCATGCAAAGATCACTTTCATAGAAAAAGGAAAATGACAGCTATAATGAAATGTTAATCAAAACAGACATATTCACTATAAGCCAGTAATAAATTAAATGGGTTGGAACTTTCTAAAGGATAGTCCACAGGAAAAAAGAAGGAAAAAAAGCACAAGGACTATATATTAACTTATGTGATCCTCACCACAACACTATGAAGTAGGTACTATTAACCTCATTTTACAGATAAGAAAAGTGAAGCACACAGATGTCAAGTTAACTTGCACAAGATTGATTATACAGCTAATAAGTATAGAGGCTGGGATTCAAACTCAGGCATTCAGATCAGAACTCCCTCTATGCTATTCTACTTCATCTATAAAATGAGCACTAACAATGTCAACACTAATGATGCCCAACACTAACGTTCAGAGAAATTTTTCATTTCACTGCAGTTTTGTGTTCAAATCCCATAAAATATACATGAATGCCCGGCTGCTTTTCTCCTACACTTTCAGCAGAGCGGTACGCAGTGAGTTAGAAGTACCGCCATACTTCTCTCCTGCATACACGGACTCTTTCCCTGTAGCTTTAGCTCCGTTCCACTGAAATGGTGTTCGAAAAGCTATCTTCATCCGCACTTTGCATGCAGGAAAGGTTTTAAATACATAACTTCAGAATCAGGTAAATACATTAGCTGGGAATTTTTAAATGAACAGGTAAAGCCAGAAATGCCCTATAAAAAAGTTTTAATGAATCGGTTCCAACCTTTAGGCTTTAGACTTCAAGAGGGCATTAATAAAAACAAAAATACTCTATAAACACATAGGAAGTAGCAGCTACAGACTGTGTAAATATACCTTATACATACACTTACAGCTGTATTTAAAATATATGGAGATGCCACGACAATATAACAAACTTATTTTTAGAGGTTACGGATTTAAAAGTATCCTTTTTGACATTTTGTATTTTCTCCAACAATGGATGTTCAAAGTGTAATTATTGTCATGTAAAGGTCCTAATATTGTTGACAAATAGGGGTCTTTATTCTTAAGAAGTTCAGGGAATAACTCTTCTATTAAATTACATCAGAAAAAAAGAGTAACTTTCTTATCTGCTGTTGACAAAGCGTTTCTAACCTTGTTAGACACTGTCCAGAACTGGCGCTCTGAAGTCATACCATGTAATTCAATTAAAATCTGTCGAATCCTCCAGGGATCCACTGACAATATCAGCTGATGCTCCAACTGGCCAATGTTGACACTTGCTGAGGCTAAGAAAGATAGATTTGTTTCAATAATGACAATTCAAAGGAATCCTACAAATATAAGAATAAATTGTTCAAACTGTGTTTAAGTATTATATCTATAAGTGAAATACCACTCTCATCTTGAGAACTCAATATAGAGAATTCAATATAGTATAAATTATATATTAATTTTATCCTCACATAGAAAAATGTAACAATATGTATTAGGTCTGCATTCAATAAAGATGACACTATAAACGAAGATAAAAATTAGTAGTAACTGGGGGGCGCCTAGGTGGCTCAGCTGGTTACGGGTCTGATTCTTGATTTCAGCTCAGACCATGATCCCAGGGTTGTGGAATCAAGCCTTGCATCAGGCTGTAGGCTGACAGTGCGGGACTGCTTGGGATTCTCTCTCTCCCTCCCTCTGCCCCTCCCCTGCTCACTCACACTCTTTCAAAATAAATAAATAAACTTAAAAAAAATAAAATCAGTAACTGGCTATAGAAAGAACTAGGTGGGCTACATGGAAAAATTCACTTATGTAGATAGTCTCCTACTTTCAAACATTATGTGTTAACAAAAGCATGTATAAAAATATTTTCATTTTAAAAATTATTCTCTCAGCCCCTCCCCCACTCGTGCTCGCTCTCAAAAATAACTAAACGTTAAAAAAAAAAAATTTTTTTTTAAAAAGGGTGGGGAGGGCGCCTGGCTGGCTCAGTCGGTTAAGCGCCTGACTTCGGCTCAGGTCATAATCTCATGGTTTGTGGGTTCAAGCCCCACACTGGTGCTGAAAACTCGGAGCCTGGAGCCTGCTTTGGATTCTGTACCTCCCTCTCTCTGGCTCTCCCCCACTTGCACTCTGTCTCCCTCCCCCTCCTCAAAAATAAACATTAAAAAAAATTAAACACTAAAAATGTTTTTTAAAGGGAGAAGAAGAGAAGGAGGGACTGACTTCCCAGAGAAACCAAAAAGATCATTAAAATCCCTAATTACAACTCAACTTTCAGATAGTCTTCATTAATCCATCCCCAGCATTTTAGGTCTAATGTCATTTTCCTTTACAACTGGTCAACCAGTTTAAATGTAGCGAGGTTCACAGCAGCTATAATTCTGTTTTGTTAAACTGACTGAATTCGGTCTCATTTATATTAAGCTCTAAAGCTTGTGTTTCTTATTAATGAATAGCACTACGTTTTCTACTTGTATTTGTAAAATAAAACCAAAAATGGAAAAAAAAAATCATCAAAAAAACAAGGTAACAAATGGCAATGTTGTCCAAGTGGAAGCTTAGCCAGCAGATCAGTGATGCAAGCTCAAATCCATGAAAGCCTGTACTTTCCCTGAGTCTCAGGACTCCCCTCCCAGCTCTTAATTGTTTTTAATTTTTGAAAAAAATTTAATGTTTATTTTTGAGAAGGGGGGGGAAGGCCAGAGAGAGAGGGAGACACAGAATCCGAAGCAGGCTCCAAGCTGAGCTGTCAGCACAGAGCCCGACAAGGGTCTCAAACTCATAAACCACGAGATCAAGACCTGAACCGAAGTCAGATGTTTAACCAACTGAGCCACCCAGGCACCCCTCCCAGCTCTCATTCTACCTCCAAGAATGTATCAGCAATAGAACCTTGGTCTATTTTCACCAACTAAAAGTTTTGTATATCTAGGCCTCAATCTCCATTAAACACAGACTGAGCAGCATCCCAGCACTTCACTGCTTAGACAGAAATAGGACTACAGAAGACTGGTAAATTTTGAATTAATTATGGACATAAATATAAACTAAAACACATGAGAGGGCATCCTCAAATACACTGAGGGGCAAATATAACACAAGTGCAAAATGTGCCATTTTTGCTAGCAGACTAGAGAGCTAACCTGGGATATCATAAAATGAAGTTACAGGTTTAATGCACAGATTTACTCTAGGGGATCTCTTCCTCATCTGATCAACAAGTAGCTTTCGTTCTTCATCTTTCAACAATGTAATGAAAAGCTCATGTGAAGAAATCATGAAAACATACTGCAGATCTTCCAACCCCAGACACACATTCCTAGATCAGTAAAAATAGTGTAAAACAAAAAAAGTTTATAATTTAGTTTGGGAAAAACAATCATATTAACGAATCTTTATTAATAAGCCATTTAACAAGCTACCATTTCATAAACTATGTAACAATATTTGAAACAGATTTAAAAATTTTTTGGTCCTAAAATTGTGATGTCCATGTCACGATACACAAAAAGAGTAACAGAATTCTAAATTTTGTGTCACTATACAAATCTGAACTTAACTGGCTCTCAAATGACTGCCTCTTTATAAGACATGCAGGACAAACACAAAAAGTAACAAAAGTTATTTTTCTCACAAGACTAAATTCAAATTAAGGAGAAAAGGGCACTTACTTTAGAAAAGCAGCCATGTTTCCTTTCAAAGAATCTGAAGCTTTTTCTAAATTTATTGATCTTGAACACACCTAGGAATTTGAGTAATTTTTATTTGAATACTGGCACTTTTAAAAATGCACGCTACAGTTAGAAAAGTTTCGATTTAAAAACAACCAAATATTCCTTCTTCAGCCACCTATCAATCACAGATTTAGTTCAGTAATTTAAAAGATGAGACTGTGAATTAAGAATCATCATGGGGAAAGGGAGTGGAATGTGATCATTTCAACAACTGCAGTCATTTCTATGAAATAAAGCAGCTATCTAGCCTGGCATAGAGTTCTCCCAGAATGTATAAAGTACACTAACCAATTATATGAGGTGATGAACTCTGCAGCAGCTCCAGTCAGAAAAGTGAGAGAAGATTCATCTTAGAGAACTGAATGATACGTAATGGCTAATGTACATAGACCCAACAATTAAGAGTAACCAAGGTTTTAAAATAACCAGTGAAATGAAAAGAATGACAAAAACTAGTCATGGAAATATTATTTACAAATAACAGTCTCGTAATATTCTGAGTTTATTCATCAGATTAGGATTTCTCCCATAGATTACTTACAAGAAGCCAAAATAAAGCAATAAGTATCAAAGTCCCTAACCTAAGGAAATTGTCAAATATTCTCTAACATGTTAACATAAAAAAATAAATCCTAGAATGTTCACAGCAGCATTATTCGTAATAGTCAAGGAGTGGAAATAACCCTAAAGCCCATCAACTGACGGATACACAAAATGAACAATGAATAGTATATCCACTTAATGGAGTATTATTCAGTCATAAAAAATGAAGCACTGATACATGCTATAACATGGATGAACCTTGAAAACATTTAGTAAAGAGCCAGCAAAAAACAAAAAAACAAAAACAAAAACAAAACACCACCTATATTTTTGTTTATATGAAATGCCCAGCATAGGCAACAGGCAAATCTAGAGACACAAAAGTGGATCTGTAGATGCCTGAGGTTAAGGGACTAGGAGAAAATGAGGGACGACTGCTAACAGATAAGAGATTTTGTTGTGGGGTAGAAGAGGGAGGATGAAAATGTTCTAAAACTGACTGAGGTGGTGGCTGTACAAATCAAGGCACACACTAAAACATCACTGGATTGTACACTTTTTTTTTTTAATTAAAAACAATTTTTTTAATGTTTGAGAGAGAGAGAGAGAGAGAGAGAACAAACGAACACGGGGGAAAGGCAGAGAGAGACCAAGGGAGACACAGAATCTGAAGCAGGCTCCAGGTTCTGAGCCATCAGCACAGAGCCCAATGCGAGGCTCAAACTCACGAACCACGAGATTATGAGCTGAGACAAAATTGGAAATTCAACTGACTGAACCTCCTAGGCACCCTGGATTGTACACTTTAAATGGGTAAACAGTATGATATGTGAACTATACCTCAATGAAACTGTTATTAAAAGGAAAAAAAAATTGTAATTTTTAAAGTACCATACTCAGGAAGAGTATTGTAAAAGTACTATGTTCAAATGAACAGGTTACCCTAATAGCATATATCACATCTGAGCATCTTGATGTATAAAATATTTACACTGTAATAATTGTGCTCCACACTATAAATTAATATTAATGATCATAATATTAATAAGTAATAATATTAATAAGTAATACCCAAATATGCTTTCGTAACAACTTATTCATACACAGTGATGCACTGTAAACATGTCATGAAACAAAGGGAATAGGTGTTACTTTTAATAAGCGATAGAACAAATGTTAATTAAGCTGAATTCTTTACTTAGAACATGAAATAGGGGACATCTTTATGAATGCTGTAAACATTAAAAAAAACTTAATAAACTTAAATATTTAGATTAAGTGTGCAAATTCTTTTTTTAATCAGTTATTTTTTTCATTTCTTCTGATTTTATTACTTTTCTTTTTTTTTTTTAATTTTTTTTTTCAACGTTTATTTATTTTTGGGACAGAGAGAGACAGAGCATGAACGGGGGAGGGGCAGAGAGAGAGGGAGACACAGAATCTGAAACAGGCTCCAGGCTCTGAGCCATCAGCCCAGAGCCCGACGCGGGGCTCGAACTCACGCACCGCGAGATCGTGACCTGGCTGAAGTCGGACGCTTAACCGACTGTGCCACCCAGGCGCCCCGATTTTATTACTTTTCAATTTAATTTACTGTCAAACGGCTAACATACAGTGTGTAACATGTGCTCTTGGTTTTTGGGGTAGATTCCTGTAGTTCATCACTTACAACACCCACTGGCACTTGCTCATCCCAACAAGGGTTCTCCTCACTGCCCAGCACCCATTTTCCTCTCTCCCCTATCCCCCGCATCAACCCTCAGTTTGTTCTCTGTATTTAAGAGTCTCTTATAGTTTGCCTTAAGTGGACAAATTCTTATAAAACCTCTTAAAACTAATCAGGAAAAATATACTACCTCTCTGCCCCTCCCTTGCTTGTGCTCTCACTCGCTCTCTCGAAAATAAACTTAAAAAAGAAAAAAAAGTTTAGCACAGTAGTTGGAAACAAAATCATTACACAAAGTTCAATTCTACCTCTATGCCAATGCATAAACTACTTTCATTTTCAAGTTCATAAACCAAAAAAGACTTCTATGGAAAAAATTCTAAAGCTCTGAAGGACATCAGGCAATGTCTAAATAAATGAAGAACTGTACCAGTTCACAGAATTCTCAATACTATGAAGATATTAACTTTTCTCAAACTGGTTTTTAAACATTACATAGCTTCAAACAAAAATCCAACAGGCTTATTTGTGGAACTTGACAATTTGAGTCTATGCAAAGAAAACGCAAAGGATAAGCATAAACCAATACAACTTTGAAAAACAAGGCTTATGTTTAAATGTTATCATGACAGGGATGCTGACCTGTGAACAAACAGAAAAGTAGTACAGAATAGATCCCAGTAACAGGCCCACACATGCATTGACACCTGGCATTCCGTAGAGGTAAAGCACTGCAGATCAGTAGGGAAAAAAAAGCCTTTCAAAATAGTGGTACTGGACGGGCCCCTGGGTGGCTCAGTTGCTTACGCGTCTGACTCTTGATTTTGGCTCAGGTTCACAAGATCAAGTCTGCATCGGGCTGTGTGATGACTGTGCGAAGCCTGCTTGGGATTCTCTCCCTCTCTGCCCCTCACCCATGTACGTGCGTACTCTCTCTTAAAAAGAAACTTAAAAAAAACAAAACAAAACAAAAAAAACTGGCGCTGGAAGAAATGGATAGTCATAGGAGAAAAAAATAACACCAGACCATCTACTTCACATGATACACAAAAACCAACGATAAGTAGATTAAAGACCTAAATGTGAAAGGAAGGCTAAGCTACAAAGCTTTTAGAAGATATAACACTATCTTCATGACCACAGGATAGGAAGCTTCCTTAAACAAGAGAGAGTTCACTAATCTTTTCCTTTATGGGAAAGACTGATAAATTTTATTATACTAAAATTAAGAGTTTTTAAAGCAATATAAAGAAAGTTAAAAGAGAAGTCAAACTCAGAGAAGATACCTGCAGTACTTAAAATCAGTAAAGGACAAAATACATGAAGAACTTGCACCAAAAAAAGACAAAAACAGACAATCCAAAAGAAAAAACAAGGCATTTCACTTGGAACAGGTTCCTCAAAAGACAAAATTCATTATGAGCAAAAAGTAAAAGAAATGCTGCTAAGTTCCTTAGTAATAAGAGAAATGGAATTTGAAATCTTAATGACCTCATAGGTAAATTTGACAATACCAAGTGTTGACAAGGATGGTGACCAATGAATGCTGGCGACAAAAACACTGATATTACAAAGTAATGTTAGAGATATATTTTCTGTAGACATCTGATATATGTGTACACCAAGATATACATAATGTTCCAAGCAGCAAAATAGCCATTTACATTATGTAAACAACATAAATGTCATAAGAACGGATGAATTGCACAATAGTCATGTTGTAACACAACAATGAAAAAAATCAAACTATAAATGCATACAACTTGGGAAAAAAGCTCATAAACCTGTTTAGTGAAGGAAAATTAAAAAAGTATTTTGTATGCTTTTATATCAAGTTCAAAACAAAGAATATTCCTTAAGGATGCAAAGGTGATACAAGTACAAAGAAAAACAAGGAAATGATCACAAAAGGCAGGACAGTGATTTTCTCAAGCAGAGATGGAGAGGGTTTAGTAAAGAGCATTAAAAAAAAAAGGACTTCTAGAGGGTTTCCTGACTGGCTCAGTCAGTGGAACATGTGACTCTTAGTCTCAGGGATATAAGTTCGAGCCCCCACATTGGGTATAGTGATTATTTAAAAATAAAATCCTAAAAAAAAAAAAAAAAAAAAAAAAAAAAAAAAAAAAGGACTTCTAGAATGTTGACAATATAGTATTTTTGAAACTGATATTAATTATGCTTATGTATTTCTCTCAGTATCTTTTATATTAAAACAGTTAAAGACAGACATCAAAAAACCCAACAGAAACACAGATTCTGGAGCTCACAGGAGAGGTCAGAATTATAATTTGGGAATGTTCAATAAACAGATGACTGAAGCTTTAATGTTTATTTATTTCTGAGAGAGACTGAGACAGAATGCGAGTAGGGGAGGGGCAGAGAAAGAGGGACACAGAATCCGAAGCAGGCTCCAGGCTCCGAGGTCCCAGCTGTCAGCACAGAGCCCGATGCGAGGCTCGAACTCATGAGCTGTGAGATCATGACCTGAGCCGAAGTCGGGTGCCCAACTGACTGAGCCACCCAGGCGCCCCTGATGACTGAAGCTTTAAATGAGAATAAAAAATGATATGAGAAGATGAGTGCACCAAAAACAGAACTACTGTAAACAGAAACACTAAAGGGAGAGCAAAAGAGGTCTTGATGAAGGATGAAGGAAAACGCAGTAACAGAGAACGAGCAAAGAGCTCTGGCAGAAGAGAAGGTTGGAGAGTCTGTAAGCAGTATCAACTATTAGCAAGTCAGATGAAGACAGAAAAGAGGGCACTAGATTTGGCAACTAAGAGGTCACTGGTAAGCCTACAGCAAAATTACAAATCAAAAAGGGAAAAAATGTCTTACCTCAAGAAGAAAGTCTATTTTCTCTTTATTAGGTCTAATAAATAGCTGGTTAAATTGAACACTAATCGTTCTACCTTCCAATATATCACGGACTGTGTTACAGGCACAGACTTTAAAACAGATTTCATCTAGAGCTTCATTTCTGTAGAATACAAAAGTAGATCTACTAATACATTCTCTTTAATAAAAAAAAAAAGTAAGGTACATTTCACAAAACCAAAATCACTCACTAGAATGAGTTATTTATTCTTGAGAGGTAAAAGTTTAGGTTATTCAGGCACACACGGGGTGGGAGGGTAGCGCAGAAAAGGAAAGTTTTTAATCTGTCAAGGGACAATTAAACTACAGATTAGGTAATAGAATCAAATTCCACTAATTTCTGTCCCCCAAATGCTTTTACTAAGGATCAGATGAACATTAAAGTGGCTCTTCTGGCTATGTTAATTTCCCATATACTAACAAAGATGAAAGTACTGTCACAGATTTACAGGTGATTTGGAGGTCTATTGTTATACACCCGAAATGCATTTGCTCTTTTATTCAAAAATAAGAAGGTAGTTCTTCAATTTACTTACTTACCCCTGTTGAGCTTTCTGAAAGAGTTCCCTTAGTACTGACTGCCGGAACTGGACAGGTAAACTGAAGGTTAAGTTATCTTCAATAAAAATCTTCACTACATCCTAGAACACAAGACATAAAATTGTATCCAATTCAAAAATCATGGCAAAGCTTGTTTACTTTAAAAGTCTTCCCAAAAAGAAAAAAAAGTCTTTCTACAATGGAAAATATATATTGAAGAAAATCATGAAAATAACTTACTACAAAACTCTTTTCTAAAATATTAAAATGAAGATTGAGGGTAAAAATCTCACCTGCCCCGCATCCCTGCCTTTTTAAATTGAAGACCACAGACCAAAAATGAGAGGTGAAGAATCAATCAATAAGAGGAAATTCAAGGGGAGCCTGGGTGGCTCAGTCGGTTAAGCATCCAACTTCAGCTCAGGTCATGATCTCATGGTTTGGGAGTTCAAGACCCTCATCGGGCACTGTGCTGACAGCTCAGGGCCTGGAGCCTGCTTTGGATTCTGGGTCTTCCTCTCTCTTTGCCCCTACCCCACTCACTCTCTCTCTCTCAAAAATAAATAAATATTTAAAAATTAAAAAATTTTTTTTTTCTTAGAAATAAAGAAAGATAGGCTGTAGCTTTGTCATTTCATGACTCCTACTTTGAGTGAAGTAACATGAAGGCACTATTCATTTTCTAGCATGAAGGCTTTCTGATAAAGATTTCAAAACTACAAATTTTTTTTTAACATTTAAAAAAATTAAAAACATTTTTTTAATATTTATATATTTTTGAGAGAGAGAGAGAGACAGAGTGTGAGCAGGGGAGGGGCAGAGAGAGAGAGAGACAGAGAGACAGACAGACAGACAGACATAGAATCTGAAGCAGGCTCCAGGCTCTGAGCTATCAGCACAGAGCCCGACATGAGGCTCAAACTCACGAACCATGAGATCGTGACCTGAGCTGAAGTCAAACACTTAACTCACTAAGCCACCCAGGTGCCCCTGAAAAGTACAATTTCTAATTCCCAGTAATTTTCATTACAAACCTAAAAATATATATCCACAGAAGGCAATGAACATAAACAGATTAATTTAAGTGTCTTCCATGGGGTAAAAATCGAGACGATAACCACGCTCACTGGTAAAGCAGTCTCTAGAGTAGACCATTCAAACCTACAAATACCACTTTGCTCATTTTTACCCCCAGTCTTACAGTGGCTAATAAGGCTGGGCTACAAAAGCCACACTTTCAAGTCAGACACCAGACTTAAGGCTCCATAAAACTAACAATTCTTTACCTGTAATTTTAAAAGTTAAAAGTCCTGCTTACAGTTTCTTGAAGAATTTACTTAACACAGGCAAATTCTGTACCTTCAAGAAAAATGATCAATAATGACTCAACATCTCTACAGTGCACTGCTTAGACTTTATAACTTGTCACTTGATTCTCCTAAGACCTATGAAATGGGGTAATTATTACCATTTTATAGGCCAATCTGACAGTTTTACATGCCCCAAATCACACAACTGGTAAATGGCGATGCCAGAATTTAAAATGAGTTCTGTCTGGCTTCCAAAGCTTTCCAATCACCCTATTACTTCCTTATCAGATATCTTACCTGATAGTTGCCAGATCTCAAACAAATATGGACTTGACTATATGGTGTCAACTGTTGAGATGTACTATCAGAAGAAGGTACAAGAACATCACACGCTTGACAATAGCCCGCTAACCGCTTCTCATCTATGGTACAATGAAGAGATAATGAACCTATCTGTAAAGTAAGAGGTATACATCATTATCCATCAATGTAACAGAAAACAATAGTATAGTACCCATTCAATGCATTTTAACAGTACAATAAAATGTAATGGAAAATTCAGGGCTGGAGGTACCATAAAAAATGAAAAAGTTGAAAGTTTAGAGCAAGGGTCAGCAAACTATTGTTCACAGGTATTTGGCCTGTGGCCTATTTTTATACAGCCTTTGAGATGAGAATCATACTTAAGGTTGTAAAGGGGAAAAAACACAGTAACAAATGAGAATATGCAACATAAACTGCATATAGCCCACAAAGCCTAAAATATCTACTATTTGGTCCTTTACCAAAAAGTCTGCAGACTTCAGGCCAACATACAAAAGGTAAACATCATCATCAAAGTATGTATAACAATTTAGACATTAAAAAAGAGTGAACACTGTTTAAAACAAGCTTAAAACATTTAAAAATATGTAAGAACAGAGCAAATCTGATGAGCTGCCTGGGCAAAGTAAAATGTGGATTCCCAAAAGATCTAGAATAGATTTAAAGCAAATCTCTTGAGCATTTAATCAATTTTTCTGAAGAGGAGAGACTGAAGTGGGAATTTTTCTAGGCACCAAACAAAAACCTAGTTACATATTTTAAAATTCAGTTGTCAGAATCATAAGAAGAAAAATGCAAGTATTAAACATATGAAAAGTTCACCTTTACCAGGAATTAAGGAAATGTAAATGTGTTAAAGTTCATGTATTTCACCCACCAAATTAGCAACTGGAGGAAAAAAACAAAAACAAAAAAACCCTCACTGCTGATCGGAGTACCGAGAGAAATGTACCTGGAAAGCAATTTGGTTTTATGTTTCACAGCCTTTACAAAATTACTGACATGATGATTACTGACATTACAATTTACTGACATGATGATTCTACGTGTAGGAATTTAACTTGAAAGCATCTAAAAACCAAAAAAAGTCTTACGCTTGGAGACAGAAATATTATAGCTTTATGATAAATAAAAACAGTAAACATAAATGCCCAAACATTAGAGAAATGAAGTAAATCACAGCACATCTACATGAAGATCTTTAAATGTCTATTCAAAGATTTAAGCATGATAACAATATAGTATATATAGTTAATATAACCTTAACTGTAGAAAAACAAAGACTGAAACCTGGAAGAAAATAAGCTAAAATGGCAAAAGGGGTAATTACTAGGCAGTAGTAATACAGATTTTCAAAATGCTTTTTAGTACTTTCTAAAACTTGCCAAATGTACCACAATGAACATTTGTTTTTTTAATCATCAGAAAAATTAAACCCAAAAACATATATAGACTCTTTAAGAACTAAATATTATGTGCCTGTTATCACTGTATTTACCTCTGTAATTAGTTCTTTGGTTCTAAAAAATTTTTCTCTGGCATTTTCATAAACAGCTGCATTTGTAGAGCCTTGCTGGAAGTATGCTGCACCCAAATCATAACACACCTAAAATGGTAATGAATACCAATTTGCTTAGTAAATTTTCATGAACTGAAAAGCTAACAAAACTCAAAATTATGTTTATCTCAGCAAAACGCTAGTACATATACAGGAAAAAAACTGTATTTCAGCAAGCAACGGAATAGTCAATGTTCTTAGTCACAAGAAACAGAATCCAGTGGACTGATTTAAGGAGAAAACAGATTTAAATGGTAAGATTTAGGGTGGTCTACAGAATTACTTGGCCCAAGGATCGACCTTTGGAAACAAAAGGGCAAGGGATGCAAACAGCCAAGATAAGAGCCAAAACTGACCTAGTGATTGCTGCGGTCATCTCAACACTGGACTCTTATCACCTGCAGCCACCAGCACTACATGCCAAGAGCAGCAGCTAGCTAGACTCTTGCTCGGGCTGCCCCTGTCAACTAGATTTTACTGTCACTGTTGCTGCTATTCAACATCACGACGGATTCTCTATCATCTATGCTTCTTTCAAAGTGGGGGAGAGTAACTGCCTGACCAGAGTGAACACTGAGAAAAATCTGAATTAATGACAATGAAAGGATAGAAAAAAACAACTAAAAAAGTACTAATGGAATCTGTAATTTCTGGGGCACCTGGATGGCTCAGTTGATAGGGCATGCGACTCTTGATCTCAGGGTCGTGAGTCTGAGCCCCATGATGGGTGTGGAGCCTATTTAAAAAAAAAAAATTGTGTATTTCTTCAAGAACCTTCTTCAATCAATGCCTAGACTCACTAAATGCAGAATTCAAGGACCCAGATTTAATTCAACTTGAACATTTTATGGACAGGAATAAGGCTCAGAAGTGACAATGTCTGCTAAAAGGCATATAACCAAGTACTGGCAGAGCCCAGGCTCGAACCCAGATCCCTAAGGCTCCTAATATCCTGCCTCAAAAGTTTATTCTACACAGTGCTGACAGATCTTTCTTAAAAAGTCTTCAAATTATCCCAAGTAAGATAAAGTTCAAACCCCTTGGGCCCAATCTTTAACGATCTCAGAATCTGGACTAACTTCTCTCTTCAAAACTCTCTATTCTCCTCTATTTCAACCATACCAGTCTTCTCAATTCCCAATTCTTATCAGATCCTGGAAATAAACTTCATTCCCTATCTCTTATTTCCATCTACATCAAACCAATCTTAGCAAACAGATACTTATTCCTCCTCCAAACTTCTAACCTCTAAGTCTGATACACATCACAGAACTACTCTTTACTGATATGTATCATATATACATATTCTGTCCTCTTGAGCTAATCAAGATGAATTCTTCTCAGCCTGTAGGATACTGCTTCTTACTATTTAGTCCACATTAAATGTGTGGCTGATTTTCATTCTAGAGTGCTTCCTCCCATCTGGATCAAAGGGTGAGAAACAAAAGAAAGAAAAGAAAGAAAGGAAGGAAGGAAGAAAGAAAAGAAAGACAAAGAGAAAGAAAGACAGAAAAAGGATATACAGGTATTTATACACACACAGACATTACAGTTACATGTAATTCCCCTTTCCAGGCAGACAGTGCAAGATACCAAAAAGGTATTTTCAAGCATCACTATACTAACATTAAAACAAGGGTTTTTTTTTGTGTTTTTTTTTTTTCAGATTTCTTTTTTAAGAAATCTCTATACCCAAAGTGGGCCTCCAACTTACAACTCTGAGATCAAGAGTCAAATGCTTTACCAACTGAGCCAGCCAAGCACCCCCATTAAAACAAGTTTAAATTCTAGGCATGCCCGGCTGGCTCCATACAGCATGTAACTCCTGATCTCAGGGTATGAGTTTGAGCCCCACATAAATACATAAAACAAGTTTAAATTCTATAATTAAGAGGTAGTTAATAAGTTAAAACAAACAAAAAGCCTGATAACAAAGTTGCCCTGACAGCAAATATTTTTGCTTTTACTGGGAAAAGAATTTAAAGATTTTCCTTTAGAATCAGGTAAATTTTAGTAATGTAAAGAATGTGCTTTAAATATTAACGTGCTGGGAAATAAGTATTGCTGCTAATTTGCCATTCAAGGCACAGAATTAGGAGTCAGCTATATAATTAAGAAAGTATTTGATAGTTTACCTAGCACACTGACATGTTTTATTAACAGCTGTTTTGTTTTTCAGATTGCATCACCCACTAGATCGTGAAAATCAGAAACATTACCAATTATTTTTAAATAGACTCTGTGACTACAATATAGTACCATAAACCCTCTTATATGTAAGTTTCACTACTATTTAAAGATGTTCCCAATTGTCAATCCTCATTACTCCTATTCCAACTGTGACTGCCATCTCATCAGGTACTGAAAAAATTATTATCTTAAACTCTACAACCAGCTAATCTGAAAAGGCACCTCCCTACACATTGTCATAGCTACTTCTGCCCATTTCAGGAATGGGAAACAGTGACTGAAGAAATCAGCAGGTGCCTGGACGGCTCAGTCAGTTAAGCGTCCTACTCTTGATTCTGGCTCAAGTCATGAACTCACGGTCCGTGGAATTGAGCCCCACAACAGGATCTGTGCTATCAGCGCAGAGCTGATTGGAATTCTCTTTCTCTCACCTGCCCCTCTCCTACACGTGCACTCTCAAAAGAAATAAATACACTTAAAAAAAAGAAATCACGCAAGGGGTGCTTGGCTGGCTTAGTCGGTAGAACACGTGACTCTTGATCTCAGGGTTGTGAGCTCAAGCCCCACTTTGGGGGCAGAATTTAATTAATTAATTTACTTAAAAAAAGAACTGCCTGTTTAAAAACAGAAGATGACGCGCCAACTCCCACAAAGAAGAGAATACAGAATATAAAACACACTATTTTCGTGGCCCTTTTTACGCAGTTTTTGAATATTTTAAAATTTGTTATACCTAAGGTTCTCTGCTAAAAAGTGAGGAAGATGCAAAATACACGTTAAAAAAGAGAGATCTCAGAGAGTTTACAATCCAGCGGAGAAAAAGACAACACAAATACGCAGTATCTCACAACAATATCAACTGAAAGCTTTCAAAGGAACTAGAGCCCAGAGTTATAGAACCACCTTCAATGAAGACCCTTGAAAAACTAGTTATTTTCTCTAGGGGCCAACATTTTTCAAAGTCTAGCATAGTATTTGTTTTGGGGTTCAGGGTTTTTTTTGGTTTAATTATCTAACAATATGAATGAACTGTAGAATTGTTTACATACTCACTGCATTCTCAATATTCAGAGTCTGTCTCTTAAACACAATTGGGAAACTATCTCAGAGACCACAAATCAAATGGAATTTCCCTTCCATTTCTTTCAGGAAAATTTCAAGTTAAGTCATAAAATTTACAAATTAATTATGAGTCAAAATTTTAATAGCATCTTAAGTCAAAAATCGAAAAGACAAAGGGAGGAATTCTAATTAAAAATACTAGAATGACCTCATGTAAGATTTTCTAAAACTTTGCCATGCATTGATTGAATACTGAAATAAGTACCTGGCACTGCATCTCCTCAGTTCTGATTTTCAATCCAGCAGTAGAACTCTCAGTTTCTCCATTTACCATGCCTGGCTCCATTGCCAACAAATCTAGTGTTCTCATTGTGTGGACATAAAGATCCTTGTCTAATTTAAGGGCTGCCTCTAGTACCAAAATAGAATCAGAAGCTTGCTCTTTTAGCTACAAAAATTCAATAAACAAATTATTAAAATACAAACATCACAGAAAACTAACCAAAATATATACACAGGACACTCAATAACTTGGTGTACTAAGCTATTAAAAAAATTTAACACAGCAAGAGTGCAATTAAGTCTGCTGAAATAGTTAAATTTTTAAAAATACAGTAAAAGTTCCTATTTAGAAATTAGAAAATACAAAGTAGAAAAAGTACCTTTTTATTTATTTTTTTTACAAAAAAAAAAGTGCTCTAAAGATTTGCTTCCACTGATTTATTCAAGAAATGTTTATATGCATCAATGTGTCACCCACCGTTTTAGTAGGCACTAGTAACAAAAATAAAATGATGCAGGGTTTTTTTTCTCCACATTCAAAATACTACAGCATAATGGGGCGCCTCGGTGGCTCAGTCGGTTAAGGGTCCTGGACTCTTGATTATAGCTCAGGCCATGATCTCGTGGTTGTTGAGTCAAGCCCTGCATCAGGCTCTGTGCTGACAGAGGCTCTCTCCCTCTCTCTCTGCCCCTCCACTTGCTCTATGTCTCACAAAAAATATAAATAAGCATTCAAAATACTACAGCACATTAACTTTATATAAATATAGAATGTTTCTCTCCTCTCCCAGCCCTTAGACTTTACACAGTGTTTCTGGTGCACTGTAGGTGTCATGGAATTACAGAGATTATTTTTAAATTATGGAAACTCCCACATTTCTACTTTTATATTAACTACATTAAAAAAATAACTGCTATAGGGGCGCCTGGGTGGCGCAGTCGGTTAAGCGTCCGACTTCAGCCAGGTCACGATCTCACGGTCCGGGAGTTCGAGCCCCGCATCAGGCTCTGGGCTGATGGCTCAGAGCCTAGAGCCCGTTTCCGATTCTGTGTCTCCCTCTCTCTCTGCCCCTCCCCCGTTCATGCTCTGTCTCTGTCCCAAAAATAAATAAACATTGAAAAAAATAATAATAATAACTGCTATAGGGGTGCCTAGGTGTCTCAGTCGGTTGGGCGTCCAACTCCCGGTTTTGGCTCAGGTCATAATCTTCCGGGTTTATGAGATCAAGCCCTGTGTGAGGCTCTGCGCTGACAGCATGGAGCCTGCATGGGATTCTCTATCTCCTCTCTGCCCCTCCGTTGCTCACACTTTCTCTCTCAAAACAAGTTAACTTAAAAAAAATTCTTTTAAACAATAACTACTGTATTTTTGTGACTGCAAAGTAATTTTTAAAAATTTTTTTTTATGTTTATTTAGTTTTTGAGAGACAGAGAGGACGCGTGGTGGAGGGGCAGAGAGACAGGGAGACACAGAATCGGAAGCAGGCTCCAGGTTCTGAGCTGTCAGCGCAGAGCCTGATGCGGGGCTCGAACTCACAGACCAGGAGATCATGACCTGAGCCGAAGTTGGACACTCAACCAACTGAGCCACCCAGGCGCCCCTGCAAAAGTAATTTTAAAATATAATACATGTGGGGCGGGGGGAGGGGAAAGTGGCTGATGGGCATGGAGGAGGGCACCTGTTGGGATGAGCACTGGGTGTTGTATGGAAACCAATTTGACAATAAATTTCATAAAATAAAAAAATAAAATAACAAAATAAAATAACATAAAATAGAATAACATAAAATAACATAAAATAAAATAAAATAACATAACAAAATAAAACATAACAAAATAAAACATAACACAAGATAACATAACATAAAATAACATAACATAAAATAACATAAAATAACATAACATAAAATAACGTAAAATAAAATAAAACATAACATAAAGTAAAATAAAACATAACATAAAATAACAAAGTAAAATAACATAAAATCACATAACATAAAACAACAGAACATAAAATAACATAAAATAAAATAAAATAAAATAACATAAAATAAAATAAAATAACATAATATAAAATAAAGTCTTTGTTGTAAAGAAAAATAAAATCTATGTTAATTATAAAATTTCGGGGAAAAAATATGAAGATATCATCTGTAACTGTGATTTCTCTTATCTGCTAAAAGTATAAAAATTGGACAACAGAATTGGTGGTAAAGCACTACACTGAAAAGCTGTATGATTTACAATTGTTACCAAACTATGTTCTAACAATAAAAACCTATACATCACTGCTTCCAGACCCTGCCAACTCTTGCATATCTAAGGTTAGAGGAAGCATGTGAACATGCTCTGAATGCACCCCAGAAATGTGTAACTGATGCTGATACTCACTACTTTCAAAATATTTTCTGTTAGTTCTTTCTCCTGTTGCATCTGATTCATGCTAAAAGAGAAAAGATTGAGAAGTATTTAACATTTTTCAAGACTAAAAATTCTAAACTTTAGAGCATCATTCTTCAAAATGAGGCAGAATTTAAACAAAAATGGTAATACTACTTCTTTTCACTCTTGAAAAAACAAAAACTCAATTATGATGTTCATTTACCATTATTTTTTCATTTGCTTTGTGTTGAAAAAACAAAAACAAAACCCTCAATTTAAGACTAAACCTTATTGGCAGCAAAAGCTCATTTCTATCAAGTTAGAAACTATGCTCTCTAGCTCCAAATTTGGGTAAGCTGCTAACCTAGAATTTAAGAATTAGGTTTAGGGGTGCCTGAGTGGCTCAGTTGGTTAAGCATCCAACTTTGGCTCAGGTCACGTCCTCATGGTCCACAGATTTGAGCCCCATGTCAGACTCTGTGCTGAAGCTCAGAGCCTGGAGCCTACTTCAAATTCTGCGTCTCCTTCTCTGTCTCTGCCCCTCCCCTGCCCGTGCGCTCTCAAAAATAAACATTAAAAAAAATTGTAAGAATTAGGTTTAAAACTCCACAGATGATAACTCTGGTAATTTTTCGTATCCTAAACTAATTTTACATATTAAAACAATTTCCCTACATACAGAACAAATATAACTTTATGTAAATTTAATTAAATGAAAAAAATCTTAATACTTTGGAGCAGGGGAATTAACACTAAGATGAAAGGCACAAGTCACAATGCATTCCTTTTTCCAGAGCTCTCTACTATAGATATCCAGAGCACTGCCTGATTCTGTCACCCTTCTAACTCCCCAAACCTACCTGCACGTAGGCCTTGTGCCCTCCTCTAACTCTACTCCTTCGGTACCAGAGGTTATTAAAAACATGCAAATAAAAATTTTTTTAATTCTGATGACAAAAAGTGTCAACCAAGGGTCCCATCTGCCGACTTACACACTTAACTGAGGAGGTCCAGGTTTGGCTTGCTTGACAGGAAAACTGCTTTGAACAATTGTCCTAATTGCCCTGAAGGACAGACAAGAAAAAGAAAATTTAACACATTGCAAATGTCACTTAAATTATTTTTTAAGTACTACTTAGAACATTTGTTATTATAAATTAGCTGAACTTTTAATCGATATGTAATAAAACCTTCATAAATCATCCACATTTTTATCAGAATGCTTTTCTCATATATGCAGTCATAATTTTCTCTACCATCAGACTCCCAGTTTCCAAGATCCTCCAAGAGCTCTCCAGGGTATAGGGGACCCTTAAAAGCACATCCCTGAAAGCCAGAGGGCAATTACACACAGGCTGCCCAACACATTTGAGGTCTATGAAAAAATTTACCATCTATTGTAGAGAAGGATAGCCATGGCAGTGGTCGGAGGTAAAGTGGCCAGATCCATATCCACATGCTTTGTCCCAGGAGGAACTTTACTGATGCACAGCAGTTCATTTAGCAGCATATTCAATACTGGAACAGACAAACTTAAAGAAACAAAAGGTACACATCTGCATAAGAAGCATAAAATACACAACTCAGTATTTTCACTGAAAATAAATACATTGTTAAAGGACTAAATCTGAGGCTATTTTATTAATCTGTCTCAACAACTTGTATGAAAATATTAAATTTCAGGGGTGCCTGGGTGGCTCAGTTGGTTAAGCATCCAACTCCTGATTTCAGCTCAGGTCATGATCTCAAGCATGGTTCATGAGATCAAGCCCTGCATTGCCTGCTTGGGATTCTCGCTCCCTCTCTGCCTCCAAATGAACCTTTAAAAAAATACTATGTTTTTAAAGGTTTTTAAAATTTTCTTTATGAAAACAACTTAAACATACACAAAAGCAGTCAGAATATAATGAACCCCCATGTGCCATCATCTAGTTTCAACAATTATGGACTGATGGCTAATATGCTTTCATCTCTACTCTTGCTCACTTCCTCCCCTTCCCATACTATCATAAAGCAAATTTTTAACATTAAATAATTTCTTCCGTGTTTCAGAATTGATCTCAAAAAATTAATTCAATAGTGGCACGTGGCTGGCTCAGTCAGAAGGGCATGCAACTTGATCTTGGGGTTGTGAGTTTGAGCCCCACGTTGGGTGTAGAGTTTACTTAAATAAAACTTTTAAAACATTAACTCAATATAGTCACTGTATTAATTTCACATCTAAATATATTTCAGCTGGGGGTGCCTGGGTAGCTCAGTTAAGCTTCTGACTTCAGCACAGATCATGATATCACAGTTTATGAGTTCGAGCCCCACACAGGGCTCTCTGCTGTCAGCACAGAGCCTGCCTCAGATCCTCTGTCCCTTTCTCTCTCTCTCTCCTCTGCTTGTTCTCTCTCTCAAAGAAATAAGTAAAAATAAACTTAGAAAGTCTTACGGGGCATCTGGGTGGCTCAGCTGGTTAAGCATCCAACTTCAGCTCAGGTCATGATCTCAAGGTTTATGCGTTCAAGCCCTGCATCGGGTTGTCTGCTGTCAGCACAGAGCCAGCTTCAGATCCTGTCCTATCTGCCCCTCCCCCCCCCACACACATTCTTTCTCAAAAATAAACATTAAAAAATTTTTAAATACCTTACAAAAAGTTTTCAGTTGCTTATCAAATATCCCAGTGTTCAATTTCCAACTGCATCATATACATCATACTTTTTGGGTCCACATTACTACCTCTTGACAGGCCTCAAGTCTATTAATGTATAGCCTCACCTTAGATTAAAGAATTCTTTAATCTGGAGAAGGGTGGTGAAAACAAAGTGTTTAAACACTACCAGTGAGAACGTGAACTAGTACAACTCTCTTGGAATGCAATCTGGCAGTATACACCATGGGATTTAAAAATGTTTATACCACCTGAGTCAGCAATTTAATAATCTGTACTAAGGATGTAACCAAAAACTCAGATGAAATTTAATGATGAAGGTATTTAAGGCTCTGTGATTTATTAAAATTAAAAAGTAGAAACAAACTAAACATCAATGGAAGACAGTTAATCAATTATCCACATGATGGAATTATCTCCAAAAAACAAAATGGGGAAATGTTCATGTTACTGTTATATGGGAAAAAAAGAAACAAAGAAATCACAACAGTGTATACAGGTTAGGGTATGATCACAACTTTGTTTAAAAATATAGGAAGAAGGGTGCCTGGCTGGCTGTCAGTAGAGCATCCAACTACCGATCTCAGGGTTAGGAGTTTGGACCCCACAGTGGGTATAAAGAGTACTTCTAAAAAATAGAGAGAAAAACTTCAAAAACTACACAAAAACGTTAAAAGTACTTGTCTCCCTCCTGTATTATTTCTGATTTCTGAATTTTACAAGGTACTTTTTTTTTTGTTTTTTTAAGTAGGCTCCATGCCCAGTGTGGAGCCCAATGTGGGGCTTGAACTCATGACCCTAAAACCAAGACCTGAGCTGAGATCAAGAGTCAGATGCTTAACCATCTGAGCCACCCAGATGCCCTTACAAGGAGTTCTTTTAAAATTGTGAGGGGGTGCTTGGATGGCTCAGTGTGTTGAGCATCCAACTCGATTTTGGCTCAGGTCAGTCCTCAGACTGCTCATGGATCGAGCCCACATCAGGCTCTTGTGGACAGTCTGAGCTGGGTTTCGCCTAGATTCTCTGACTCCATCTCTCTCTGAGCCTCCCCTGCTTGTGCGCTCTCTCTCAAAAATAAACAAATAAAAAAAAAAAAAAATGAAAAGGTGATTTAAATTCACGTAACATTCAAATACTTTTTTATACCTTTTGAAAAACAGGTGCATATATTACCAGGAACATACAGAAATATAAGTTGCATTTTAAGGGCTGGTATCAGAAAAGCATATATAAAAATAAAACAAAAAATCGAAATAGTATTTCAAAATAAATTTCTTTTAAATCTTGTATACCTTTTCTCTAATATGTCTAAGTCCCACTTCAGATGTGCAGCAACTTTAAGAGCAAGTAGCTTTAAAATACGATTTCTCTTGTTATCAGGTGGAGGCTGCACCTGGTTTTGTTCATTTACTGAAGGTTTGGAAGCCTGTTCCAAAAACTGAACAATAAGTTGAACTGGTGCAGGATCTAGGGTTTAAAAGAAAATAAATTTAACTTTAACTTTCAATTAGAAAGATGCGAAAGGTTTCACTATACTGGCTTTTGGCCACAAAAAAAAAAAAATCCCAACAGCTGTGTAGTTATGATGACTAAGGAATATGATTTATAAGAGTGCCTAGGGATTACATGAAAGATCAGGAAGGGTGGTAAGTAAGGAGGAAGGGTGGTAAGTAAGGAGGAAGGGTGGTAAGTAAGAAGGAAGGGTGGTACGTAAGGAAAAAAGGGTTAACAGAATCATGAAGAAGAAAACACTTTAGAAGTAAGAACATGATGACTATAGATTTCCAGTTTAGCAAATAACCAATATCAATTAGAGGAAAGAGAACAGAGATGTCATCTTTGGAATTACTGTTTTAACAATTAGTGCGACCTGCATCAAATTACCTCTCTGCACCTGTTTCCATCAATGCAAATAGAGAATACCACCACCTACCTGTGATTATGAACACCGAATTAAATGAGATAACAGATGTGAAGTATTAAGCATGGCACCCAGAACATTCAATAAATATGAAAAGCAAAGAATTAAAAGAACATAACATCATACAGGTGGTAAAACTGCTTGAATGAAACCACTAACTTCTCCACAGTTGTCTCCATCAGTTAAGGCTAACATAGATTCAACAAGCTACATCTGGATTTGAACTGTATCAGCAAAATACTATTCAAGAAACTTACCTGGTCATACCAGTACCTCTTTCCAGAAATGCCTGCCGTTTCTCTCCTTCTCTAACAGCACCCACTAATTGGGATATTAATCATGATCATCATTAAACAACCATGTTACAAATGTGTAACATTCCCTGCTCTCGGAGGTTTTCTCCTTTTAATTTATAGACCAACTTGGGGGAAAAAAATAATTAGGAGTCGGTAAAATCCCCTCGTTGAGAAACAAAACATTTAAATAAGAACCTAAAATATAAAAAATTAGCATCAGGATCAGCACTAGAACAGCAATTACTCTCCGTCTCTAAATTGATCACAGCCCGGAGTTCTGTAGGGGTGTGTCAGATCCAGCCTCCCCGACACACTCAATCTCACAAGACCACCTCAAAGGAGCTAAAACCGCAAAACGGTAAAAGGACCAAGGGGAGGGAAGCGGGAAGGCCTTTGTTTTGCGTTTTTAAACCCTTCCCGGCGGTGCCCCCGCACTGGGATGCTTAATGTTTAGCGAGGGAACCCCGCCAGAGCTTGGCTCGAATTCGCGCCTCCTGGGCCCCCCAGCTATGTGGCCGAGGAGGCGCGGGTCCTGAGAGCCCGGCGAGCCAGGTGCCGGTGGACGGGTCCCGCTTCCCTCCGGGTGTAGGCGCCGCGCTTACCCGGGCAGGGCTTGCGCAGATGTTTCTCCAGCAGCGACTCCTCTAGCAGGAACTCGAACCAGCAGGTCTGCGGCGGGGTGCAGGGCCGGCTGGAGGTGGCTGCCTCCCGGTCCGCCGCCTCCGCGCTCATCCTGCCCCCGCCGCCGGTACCCCCAGGGACGCTTCCCGGCTCCAACCTGACACTCGGACGCGTACCACTGGCCGGCGATTTGCGGAACCTCCGCGGGCGAGGCCCAGCTCAGAGCGTCTCGGAAACCCACACAACCCAAAATGGCGGCGGGGCCCAGCCTGAGCTGAGGGACCTAAGTCCGCCTCCCTGCGCCAGCGCCGCGCCTCCGGACCAATCGTTGTTCGATTTGTAGAGAAAGAGGGCGGGGCCAATCCGTAAATAACGCCTTGTCCTGGTTGCCATAGGAGACGTCTAGCAAAGAAGCTGGATCGCCGGTGGAGTTTCCCCTTTTCCTGGGGATTCTCAGCGAGAAAATGGAACAGTCTCATCTAGGATTACAGTGGACCTCGATGTCCTCATAAAAGACAGCGAACACTACATGTTTAAACGTGATCCAGACAAAGCTTGTCTTCTTCGGTGCTTTAATTTCCCTATTTCCATTTTCTAGATTTCTTTGCACTTAGGTCCTCTAGGCGGAGGCGCCCTGCTGTCTTGGGCACCTGCGCCCCAATCCCCTTCCTCGAAGGATGAGAATGATGGCCCAGCTTTTCTGTTATTTTTCAGGATCATCTCTCAGTATTTAGCGCCTAATTAATCCTTTTGATATACCAGCTAGGGATATTGTTAACCCCATTTTACTTTTACCTCCATTTTGTAATATTCTTGTGTGTTTTTAATTACCAATTAAAAGAGGAAAAAGTGTATTCAAAGATGGTGCACACGCCCTAAGAGTGTGGACTCTAGGTTAAGCTATTTAACCTCGCTGGACCTTTGTTTCCATATTTGTGCTTTATCTTAGGATTGATAAGAAAATTCAAGGCGGAGCTTGAGATAATACAGGTAAATGAATTAATATAGTTCAGCTTTTTAGACAAGGCCTGGCGAAGCATTGATAAATATTACCTGATCTCATATAGTGCTGTTTTTGCAAATTATTTTCATACACGAGTCTAATTTTCTCCCATAAACAAACTCATTACACACCTTTTAACCAATGAAGAAACTGAGGTTTCAGAGTTATCATTTGCCCAAGATTTCCCAACAAAGAAGGGGCTAAACTACAGCTTTGATGAACTTTCAGTTGTACCCAGGTTGCTTCCACCATAGGATAGATAGCAAGGATAAGATCAATCACTTATGGTCTTTTCCAGAATGAAGAAGGAAGGCATTCACAAGTTTTAAGAAAAATAAATGGAAGTAACTCCTCCCTAAGTGAAAGTAAATCCAAATGCTTCAGTGGCAATCATTGCCTTATTCTCTTCCTGCTCAGTCCTCTTTCTGGGCTGTGTGCTGCGTCTCCTCTTTCATTTTAGTGTTCCCTGGGTCCTGTGCCTTGCCCTCTTCTCACTATAGAAGCCATCCCTGGGTCACTCCCCCCCAACTCCTGCAATTCTGTCCTAGCCTCTAAAGAAATCATGTATGAGACTAATAAAAGCCTGAAGACTAAGAAGATACCAATAGGGAGATTAAAGAGTTATTTTCATGGAAGATTTGGTGTGTTTTACTCACTTAGGCATAAAAAGATGAGGGGAGAAAGGATGGATCCCATGTTCCCCACTCCAGTGAAAAGGGTAGATTACCTATGTCTTGATCCTTTATCAGTATAGTGAATAGCTAAGGGACAGGTTTGCAATTCATGTTGGAAATGTTTGAATATGCATCACTTGTGGGGTGTCAGAATGGAAATGTCCAGAGGGTACTGAATTTTAGATAACTAGTATATAGGAAAAAAAAATCTAAGAGTATCACCTGCTCATTTGTGAACTCACTATATGTGGACACTGATTTATGCATTGTCTTAGTCTATCCAGGCTGCTATAACAAAATACCATAAACTGAATGGCTTGTAAACAACAGAAATGTATTTCTCACAGTTCTAGAGACTCAGAGTCCAAGATCAGGGTGCCAATATGGTTAAGTTCCAGTAACAGCCCTCTTCTGGAGTGTAGACTACCAATTTCTCATGGTATCCTCAGTTGACAAATCAGAAAGGGAGCAAGTTCTTTCAGAAGGGCACTAATCTCACTCAGAAGGGCACTAATCTCACTCACTCATCTCAATCCGATGAACTCATCTAATCCTAATTATTTCCCAAATAAAGGTCCTGCCTACTAATACCATCAGGTTAGGTGGTAGAGTTTCAACATTTCAACATATGAATGGCGGGAGCACAAACATTCAGTCCCTAATATGCATATTCTCTTATTCAAGCCCTGTGAGGTGGGTTTCATTATCATCTTCTTTTTCAGGTGATAAAACAGGCACAGAGATATTTTTTAAAACAGTTCCCAAGGTCGCATAGCTATTAAGTGCCAGATGCTAAGCATGAATTTAAGCAGCATGACCTCAGAGACTGAAATCTTACCCCATGCACCAAATATATACCTCTCTAAGAAAAGACCAAAAAAAAAAAAAAAAAAAAAAAAAAAAAAAAAAAAAAAAAAAAAAAACCCAGTCCAATAGAAAACTGGGCTGAGGTCAGGAAAATGCAATCTATAAAAGAAGATATATGAATCCCAGATAAACACTGAATGAAATATTCAGGCTCATCAACAATCAATAAGCACAGTTTGAAAAGTTAATTGACATGATTGCAGATTCCAAACTGCAACTAACCTTTTTTTTTTTTTTTTAATGTTTATTTATTTGAGAGAGACACACATACAAGGAGGGGCAGAGAGAGGAAGAGAGAGAATCCCAGGCAGGCTCTGGGCTGACAGCTCAAACCCACAAACCATGAGATCATGACCTGAGCCAAAATCAAGAGTTGGATGCTTAACTGACTAAGCCAAGAAACCACTTTTCTTGAGTTTTGGTGTAGTGTCAAAGAAGAAAATACACAATTATCTGAAAAGACTCTTAATGAGAGTCCATTTTCAAAAAAAAAGTTTTAAGTAAGTTCTGTGTTCAACATGGGGCTCGAACTCATGATCCCACCGTCAAGAGTTGCACGCTCTACCAACTAAACCAGGCAGGCACCCAAAAATATTCCTTTTTCAACTACCTATCTATGTGAAGCTGGATTTTCTTCATATATTTCTACCAAAAGGACATATAGTACTAGTTTGGTACAAAAGCAGTTATAAGAGCCCACTGATTTCTATACATGAGAAAGAGATTAGCAAAAGTGTAAAACAAAGCCATCTTCTTACCAGATTTTTTAATGAAAATAAAGTTATTTTGTATAAACTTATGTCAACATATAATAGGCTTATGGTTTTTTTCATTATTTTTATTTATTATCCATTATTTATTTATTTTAATTCCAGTGTAGTTAACACACATTGTTATGTTAATTTCAGGTGTACAAAATTATGATTCAACAGACTTTTTTATCTAAATTTTTAAAAAATGTTTATTTATTTTTGAGAGAGAAGAGACACAGAGTGCCAGAGAGAGGGAGACAGAATTTGAAGCAGGTTCCAGGCTGTGAGCTGTCAGCACATAGCCTGACGTGGGCTGGAACTCAAAAATGGTGAGATCAGACCTGAGCCGAAGTTGGACGCTTAACTGACTGAGCCACCCAGGTGCCCCAACAGATTTTTATTTTTAATGAATTCAGGATCCCCAGCTCCATTGGGCCATGCCACCATTTTGGATTGTGTGGGTTTCCAGGGTGTCCTAAACCTGGCCTTCATCCCTAGATCCCTGAGGTTTTTAAAGGAATTAAATATATTTTTTAAATATTTATTTTTATTTTTGAGAGAGAGAGAGAGAGAGAGAGAGAGAGTGAGAGTAGGGGAGGGGCAGAGACAGAGGAAGACAGAGGATCCAAAGCAGGCTCCATGTTGTCAGCGCAAGGGCCAATGCAAGGCTTGAACTCACAAACTGTGAGATCATGACCTGAGCCAAAGTCAGACACTTAACTGACTGAGCCACCCAGGTGCCCCAAGAATTAAATTTTGTTTTAATTTCTCAATTTTAGTTTTTAATATGGTAAATATCAATAGACATAGCTCATAAATAAAGGCTCTTTATCAGTTATGAAACAGGCACTGTGCCAAGTATCTCACACACACCATCTCATCTAAGCCTCATAACAACCACACAATAAAAAGGTACTATTAATAGTACTATGCCCACCTTATAAATGAGAAAACAGTGTCTCAGAGGAGTTAAGTGACTTGCCCAGTATCATACACCTATTTAGTAGTAAAATAGGGATTTGAGTCCCTGTTTTATCTGATCGCAGAGCCCAAACTTACCATTCCATCAAAAAGATATCTTGCTGTTGACTTTTTTGTTTTTTAAATAGTCATAAGCCTACGAAAAAGTTGCAAGAACAATATAAAGAACTCTTACACCCCCTTTGCCCAGATGTCTCAGTTGTTAATATCTTACCACATTTTCTCCATCACCCTCTCTCTACAACCCCTCTGTGTATCACCCTGCTTCCTTAGATACCAACTTATCTTCATTTGGCCAGGCCTGCCCCAGTTTTAACAGTGAAAATCCTACATCCCAGCACCTCCTTCCCCTCCTTCCGGACAAACCCTAGCATTAGGCATGTTGCCTGTGCAACAGCACCCCTCAATTTGCTTCCGGTTGCTTGGGTGCTGGGGGCTGCCATCTCTACTTGGAGAAGGAAGATGGGAAGTAAAAGGAGGATGGGAAGAGAAGCCTGTAGTTAATTATTAATTAAGCAAAGGTCCTGAAAGGTGCCAGAATGCTTAACTCTAGCTAGAATAAGGGAAAATCACAAATTCAATGGTTCCAGACTTAGTAATATCATAAGCATGAGTGGAATTCTAGCAAACATTTTTACAATGATCATTACGTAATTACAGAACACCTTGCAAGGTTCATATGCTGTCTGTGTTCAACAATTATTCAAGTAGGCGTCTCTGTTTTATGCTGGTAATAAATTGCAGTACCTGGTCATAGTCTCCTCTTCCTTCTTTAGGAGAGTTTAAAGTATTTTCCCTTACATCCTCCCAGCATTCTGATTCTTCAGGTAGGTC